GTGAAGACATGGTGACAATGTAAATGTCCATCAATAGATGAATGGATAAAGAAAACATGGTCTATGCATACAGTGGAATATTGGTAACCTTTAGGACATTACACTAAGTGAAGTAAGTCAGTCACAGGAAGACCAATACTGCATGATTCTACTCATATGAAGTATCTAAAATAGCCAAATTCATAGAATCAGAGACTGGAATGGTGGTTGACAGGGGCTGGAGAGGGGGAAATGGGGAAGCAACAGGCATAACATTTCAGTTATGAAAAATGAATAAGCTCTAGAGATCTGCTGGAAGACATTGTGCTTGGATTCAACAGTACTGTACTAGACACTTAAAATTTGTTAAAATGGTAGATCTCATATTGTTTTTTTTTACCATAATAACATTTTTTAAAAGATTTTATTTATTTATTTGAGAGAGAAAGCGAGCATGAGCCATGGGGAGGGGCAGAGGGAGAGGGACAAGCAGACTCCCTGCTGAGCGCAGAGCCAGAAGCGGGCTCAATCCCAGAACACCGAGATCATGACCTGAGCCGAAGTCAGATGCTTAACCAACTAAGCCACCCAGGTGCCCCCATAATAACACTTTTTTAAAAAGTCACTGCCTAATGTTAAACACGGCTAGTACTTTCTCTACCATGACTTTTTTTCAATAAAAGCTGTATATATTTAAGGTTATAATGTGATGATTTAATATACGTAGTGAAATGATTGCTATAGTTAAGCTAATTAACATATATTCTGACATTGTTACTATATTGTGATGAAAGCACCTGAAGTCTACTGTCTTAACCAATGTGCAGTATTCAGTACAGTATTATTAACTATAGTTCTCACACCGTACCTTAGATCTCTAGACTTATTTGCCCTACATATATGTGACTTTGACCTTTGACCACCATCTCCCCATTTCCCTCACCACCTCCCCACCCCTGGTAACCACTGTTCTATGCTTCTATGTATTTGACTTTTTTTTCTTTCTGTGCCTGGCTTATTTCACTAAACCCTCTGGTTTCATCCACGTTGTTGCAAATGGCAGGATCACCTTCCTTTTATGGCTGACTAATATTCCATTTTCTATACATACCATCATTTCTTTTTTTTTTTTTTAAGATTCATTTATTTATTTGAGAGAGAGTGGGGGAAGGGACAGAGGGAGAGGGACAGAGAGAATCTCAAGAGTCAGACCCTTAACCAAATGAGGTACCTAGGGGCCCCATTTGCCATAATTTCTTTATCCATTATTTGTCAATGAACACTTGGGTTGTTTCCATGTCTTGACTATTGTGAATAATGTTGCAGTGAACATGGGAATGCATATCTCTCTTCAAGGTACTGATTTCATTTCCCTTGGGAATATATCCAGAAGAGATATTACTGGATAATATGGTTGTCCTATTTTTAATTTTTTGAGGCACCTCCATACTGTTTTGCCCCTGTTTGAGTTGAGCTGAATTATGGAAATAAAGTTACATAAAAGGGTAAAGAGGTAACGACTGATTGTTACTTGGGAATCCTGTTAGCAGGCATCCATTTTCAGAGGGACAGAGACACGGGGCCAAGGACAAACAAGCAAGAGGAACATATGTAGCATAATTACCCCAGTAAACTCGCGGGGCTTCTCAGCAGGAGCTCTTAAGCTATTACAGCATTTTAGTTTCCAAGAAAAACTGTGCACTGCCGAATCAGCCGTGGTTGGCCATTGCCGATTTTCATATTCATTTATGTGAAAAGTCTTCTCCTTCGTGGAAACTCTTCTTTATGAGATGTGTCCACGCCCAACAGGGACATTTTAGGTCATCCAAACCACATTGCATTCTCTCTACAAAGATAGGCCGGGTTGCTCCCAACACCGGGCCTTACACATTGAGTTCTTCTGGAATGTCTGTCAACAATAACAGAATATTGCCTCCTGATAGGGTTATTGTACAGGAGGGTAGGCGGGATCTCTGAGGGCTCCCTAAGCTGGGGCAGTGGTGGACTCTCCTAAACTGTAGATCCTTATCTCTGTCTCAGAGCCCAGCCAGGGGGCTCAACAGCCAACGATGAAGCCTCTTCAAGAGCATGTTTGTTCATCCAAGCATTTACTCAGCATCTGCTATGGGCGGACCTCGGGGCTGGCCACTGAGAGTTCAAAGATGAGAGTAAGACCTGAGACGTGGTCCTGCCTTAGGGAGCTCGAGGACAGCTCAGGGCAACTTGCAGTGTAGTAAGTGTCAGCGGGGAGTGCTACCCACTGCCCCGGGGGCACAGAGCAGAGCACCTACCCCACCTGGCGGAAAGGAGCTGGGTCTTCCTAGTAACACCCCAGCTGGTCTTCAAGGGTGTGCCAGAGGCAAGTGACAGGGGAAGGACAGCCCAGGTCAAGTACGTACATTTACCTTGGTCCAGAAATAAAAAGTGCCCAGTGGGGAGCGAACTCTGAGCATCTTAGCATACAAGACCCCGAGTGTGGGAAATGGGGTTGGAAAGGTAGGGTCCAATCACCGGGTTCTACTTACAGATGAAGGGGCAGGTGGGCAAATGACCTACAGAGAGCATTCAAAGTCAAGACTGAAACATAAGGTTCAATTCTCATGCCTCCTTCCCTTGAGTGAATCAGCAAAATAGTTAAGAACACAAACCTGGAATCAGATGGATAGGCCTCGAGTCCTGACTTTGCTCCATATTAGTTTCTTTGCCTTCAAAGTGAGAATTGTAGAAGGGACTGTGACCCCGAGCTTTGTAGCAGCTGAGCCGTAAACATCCCTAAACCCAAGGTGGTGAAGGGAGGCTGGGAGCAGTTACCAGAATCCGAGGAGGAGTGCCTGGTAGGGTCTGCTCCCTGAGAGGAGCAGTGGTCTTCAGTCAAAGGGTGCGTGCTAGACGAGAGGGGTCAGGTCAGCACACACCCTGGCCCTGAACTCCCTCTTCCTTCACCATCTCCACTGGGGACCCCATTAACCAACCTCTACCAGATGTCACGGAGTTCACTTCTCATTTTGGTATCTCTACAGGTCAGCCTCCCAGGGCACAGAGCGAGTGGAAAATGGCTCTAAAGGACGAACAGAAGGTGTTGGGGACACTCACATCCTGCAGGGAGTGAAGTTTGAGTGAGATAATACCACAAAGCTCTTAGTGGCATTTTTGACCCAAAACAAGTGCTCAGTCAAGGCTAAACTAGAATCTAGCAGTACATCTACGGGAGGGGGCCACAGGTAGATAAGATGGCAAAGTGGGAAAGACTGAAGGTGTAAGGATACTCCTTGGATGACCATCCTGAGGCTGGGCTGGAGGCAATCCTTGAGCCCCGGGGACGTGTGTTGCCTACAATTGGGTGTGACCCTCAGTCATTGGATTGGCAAGTTATGTTATTCTGAACCACAGACTTTTAGGTTTAGAACAGTTGGAAACAGCTTTATTGTCTTTGAGTACACCTGGTGAGATAATTTGTACATTATTTAAATGGTTTGATATGTAAAATAAGAACATAGAGGTTCCACTTGCAAATAGGTCCAGACCACAAAATTCCACGTTCTGTATATGGAGATAAATAGCTCAAATTTGTTTTTTTTTTCCTATTTGGACCCTCTGCACAAGCCTACTAATGGAATAGCCTGGCCAGGGAGCTCTGTGAAATTTCTAGATCTGGGGAAGATTCTGCAACTTCTATCTGTCCTTCTCTTCTTTTCCAATCCTTATTTTAAAATCCTCTTTCCTAAGGTTAACTTAATCTCCAGGCTAGATCCACATCCTTTTCTCCCGTCCTCCATACAGCCACATAAACAGTATCCTCTCCCCTCCAAGAGAGCTTAAAAACCAGAAGAAATTGGAATATACATTAAGAAAATTGGCACAAGAAGAATACATCTTTCTTGGAATTTTCTTAAAGATTTTTTTTCCCTTGAGAAGAAAGCCAAACTGTAAAGTAAAACACAGTTGTTAATAAACAAAAACCTCACATATCTAAAATTTAGTTATTTTCCAAGATGAACTAACATTTTGCTCTGTCTGCTTTTCCTAATATGCACATTTCATTGAGCCCAAATCCTCATTATGGGAAGCATTTACATATCCATCTCCCGGCTCCACGGTTTCCTGGGCAGTAAAATACGCCCTCGGTGGTTTCAGAAGCACTGGCTCGTATTCATTTTGCCAAAAGCAGCAAATCTTTAAAAAATGAAATTTTCCAGGCACTTAGCCCCTAAATCAACCTTGTGGGGATAGATGATTTTGAATCTTATCGGCCCGTGCAATGTCTCACAGCCTTTAAAAATGTCATCAGCCTCCCCCCTGGGCAGCGTGACAAGTGATACTCTGTGTCACAGCAGGAGTAGCTGAAGAATGAGTGTACCAAGTCTGCATTTTGAACCTTTCTTCGGTTTCTTATTTGCCAACAGCCTCATCCCTTATAGGCCTGTGGATTCCCGTTCATATGTTCTCATTCCACAGGTCTCTAGGCTGGAGATGTGTTTTGAACAAAGTTTGGGGATCTGGGGAAATTCAGAGCTGCCACTGCGGGGACCACCCTCTGGGCTACCGTGGGCCCAGAACCAGGTTCTACACGATGCAGCTTTGCGCCCGGCCTTCTGGAAAATCCGACCTTGCCTCTGCTCTGCCCATCCCTTAGAGCTACAGCCTAACTGCCACCCCTTCCTGGATGCCCTGCCTCATGTGGGCTCAAGCATGTACTAGATCCCTCAATAGCTTTTACACACAGAAGGTGTAGGTGTTGGTTTGGGAGTATATGGGGCTCTGGTTAATAACATGGAAAGAAAGGTGGACTTACGTATGTGTTTACTTTAGATCACCACCTTTTTGCGATTTATCAAATCACAGCTTTATTTCTGTGCCACCTCTGCCCCTAGAAGGTGTGATTTCTTTGCTCAGGTTGTATTTGCAACACACACAGTGCAGTTTTCTCCCCTTGAGTGACGGTTCTTCCTTCCAGGCAGAATGTCCAGTGACCACAGCGGATATATAGCTGTTATAGATCCTTACACTGTCTTGTCTTCCAGGCTCTGTGGCTACCCTCCTTTTTATGATGAAAATGATTCCAAGCTCTTTGAACAGATCCTCAAGGCAGAATATGAGTTCGACTCCCCCTACTGGGATGACATCTCCGACTCTGGTAGGTCTCTTGGCTCCCCAGGGGTGGGACCCTTACACCCAGACCACTTGACCCTGATGGACCCCGGGGGTTTCAGAGTGGTCCTGAGGCTCCCAAGGAAGCTCCATGAGCCTACATACTTGGACTTGACTTGCAAAGCAGAAGGCAGGCTTGGGACATCTGACCAGAGCCACGCTGAGGGACGGGACCAACTCCTCCATCATTCTAAGCCATGCCCTGATCTGAGCGCTCCAGGACTGAAGCAATATTAGCTAACATTTATTGAGTGTTTACTGTGTGCCGAGCACCAAAAGGTCTGCACACGTGCTAACTCACTCAGCCCTCAGGACGACCTATCAGATGGGTGTTACTAGTATCCCCACTTGACAGGTAAGCAAACTGAGGCCCCAGAAGGTGATATGCCTTGATGCAAGCCATACAGCTAGTAAGTGGCCGAGCTGGGATTTGAACCCAGACCCTCACTCCAGAGCCCACGTCTCAGCCACTGTGCCACACTGTCCCAGAGACATTTACCGTTTCCTCCTCAGGGATAAAGATCAAAACCAAGGCTCAGGTAGACTGACAAGTCTCTTGAGCCTCAAGGTCAAGATGGTAACAATAGTCCTCCCTACCACAGAGGGTGGTACAAGGATCAAATAAAATAATAAATGGGGCAGAGCCCTGCTCGTCCTGGTGAGCTGTTCAAATATCACCTTTTAATATGTGTTATTTCCTCCTCACTGGAGGCACCTGCTTTGTTCCTCAGCCTTCCAGAACCTGGGACCTGAGTACAGTTCTCCAAGGCTTGCAGGGAAAAGCTACATGGGGAATATTTTATTTCTGAGCTCAGGAGGGCACAGCCTTGCCCCCAGAAACCCAGTCTTGTGGGCAGAGAGCTGCCAGGCCCTGCGATGCCACGGGTCTCTGGCCTGGCATACAGGTGTCATCCTCTGGTTCTGTGACCCAGTCCCTCATGTTCTCAGGGTCCCGCTTCTGGGTCCTAACCCGACTGGGCCTCCTAGCGCTTCGCACTTCCCCGCCGGGGCATATCTTGTTGCATCTCGATGTCCTGTTCATTGCAGGCAGCTGAGTGGGCTGTGAGGGGCTTCTCGAGGGCTCTGTCTCCACAGAGCCTCAGGTCCTGGTGGCCTTAGCAGAGGCTGAAGGGATTTTGTTGAATCAGTGATGTCTAAAACACAGAGAGGACATCAACAAAGCAGCGTCCTCAGGCAGCAGTGAGCCCAGCGGGAGGCACATGATGACAAAGATCTTTGATCTCTGAACCAAAGATGTCACTAGCTGCCCAAGGGAAGGGCTTTGAGTTGGGCAGGCAGGGTCCCAGGCCTGGTGTGACTGCCTCCTCATTCACTGTCCCCTCTGACAGTGCCAAGTCTTGACTTCTCTTTCTCCCAAATGTCAGTTCCCGCCTGCCTTTTGTGTTCAACGTACCATAGGGTCAGAGGCGGGACTGGGCTGTTTTTCATGCTTCACGCCATATTCCCAAAGACCCTGCGGCAGCAAGTTGTTACATCTGCAGCCGCACCCTGATTCTGCCCCTTGTGCTTTCTTTCTAAACAGCAAAAGACTTCATCCGGAATCTGATGGAGAAAGATCCAAATAAAAGATACACTTGTGAGCAAGCAGCTCGGCACCCATGGTAAGAAAAGTCACCCACGAGGAAGGACACGCTGATGCCTTCCCAGGCTAAACCCCCTCTCAGCCGTTCCTAACTGTGGAGTGACTGCCTCTCCTTCCGACCACTGGCTTTCATCCCATCCCCAGGGCAACACTTGAACTCTTCTGTTCCCTCGGGACACAGCCTCCTGAATGCACGGATGATGAGTACACTGTGCAAAAGATAGCTGTAGGCTTTTCATTCTACAGGAAGTATTTTAGGATCATTTTTATTGAAGGTAGTTCTCCAGCCAGGCATTAAGATTGAGTTTTATTCCTTGAGCTTACTGTTCAATAAGTAAGTGAATTGATGTTATATATTCTTTTGCTTTTAAAATGTTTTTTGGGGCACCTGGGGGGCTCAGGCAGTTAAGCAGCTGACTCTTAATCTCGGCTCAGGTCATGATCTCAGGGTCGTGAGTTCAAGCCCCGTGTTGGGTTCTAGGTGGGTGTGGAGCCTACTTAAAAAGAAGAAAAGAAAAGAAAAAGGAAATGCCTTTCAAGTTAATGTGTCTTCAACCCCAGAGGCATTCATCGATGGCTTGTGATATTCTATACTAGGCCTTCAGCAGTGCCCATGATGCCATCTTGTTTTTGCACCACTTACTAGGTTTGAACCCAGCTTCACTATCAATTAGCCGTTACTCTGGGCTTGTACGTAACTTCTCTGAGCCTCAATTTTCTTATCTTTATTATTTTTTTTAATTTCTTTAAAAGATTTATTTGTTTATTTTAGAGAGAGAGAGAGTGTGTGTGGACAGGAGGGGCAGAGCAAGAGTCTTTAGCAGACTCCACACTGAGCACGGTGCCCGATGTGGGGCTCAGTCTCACGACCCTGAGATCATAACCTGAGCTGAAACCAAGTCAGACACTTAACCGACTGAGCCACCCAGGCCCCCCCAGTTTTCTTATCTTTAAAATGAGAACAAGGATACCTTGTTTACAGAGTTGATGTAAGAAATCATTGAGATCATGCCTGCAAAGGGCTTAGCTCAATGTCTGAGACATAGTAAATTCTTCGTTAGGCTGTTCTCATTAAACCACCAGGAGCATCCATTTGGAAACAAAGAGCAGGAATGGTAGAATATGCAGTATGATGGCAACAAACAGCCTTTGGCTTCAGGAGAAATTCCCCTAAAAAGCGCTCTAGGAAACTACCCCTTGTTTGTTTCACCACTGTCTATAGCGTTTCCTCCCGAGCATCATATGCTGGTTAGTCCTCCAAAGGGCACCTGCTCCGAGGAGCATCGTGAGCTGGTTTCATCGGACAGACGGTTCCCAACTTCATGATTTTTTTTGACTTTACGATAGTGCCAAAGTGGTACCCATTCAGTAGCGACTGTACTTCCGGTTTTGAATTGCGATCTTTTCTTGGGCTAGCTGCATCAGGGACAGTCTTGTCTCGTGATGCCGGGCGCTGGCAGCCATGGTTCCCATCAGCCACGCGACCACGACGGTCTCCAACCGATACGCTGACACCCATTCTGTCCCCGTACAGCCATTCTGTTCTTCACCTTCAGTGCAGTATTCAGGAAATTCCATGAGCTACTCAACACTTGATCACACAAGGAGCTTTGTGTTAGATGATTTTGCCCAACTGTAGGCTACCGTGAGTGTTCTGAACATGGTTAGGGTAGACGAGGCTAAGCTATGTTTGGCAGGTTTGGTATATTAAATGCATTTTCGACATATGATAGTTTCCACTTACAATGGGTTTATTGGGACGTAACTCCATCGTGAGTCGAGGAAGCTCTATATTTTAATCTATGACCACAGTTGTCACTCACTGAGCATCAATTATTTCGGGTGCTGTTCTAACTGCGTTAAAATATCATCTCATGTTTTTCTTCATAATAACCCTGTAAGGTAGGTTTTGTCTCCATGTCAGAAATAAGAAAATCGGGCGCCTGGGTGGCTCAGTCGGTTAAGCGACTGCCTTCGGCTCAGGTCATGATCCTGGAGTCCTGGGATCGAGTCCCGCATCGGGCTCCCTG